GAGGGGGAAATAATGGGGAAAAAAAAAGATTGAAAAATACTATTATAAAGCAATAAGACTGAGGACCTGCAGGCATATGCAAAAGAAGACTGGATCTCACAAACATAATGTTGGAGTGAATGAAACCAGATACCAAAAAGAACATACTGTATGATTCCATTTATATAAAGTACCAAAAGCAGGGGAGCTTGGGTGGCTCAGTCCGTTAAGTGTTCGACTCTTGATTTCAACTCAGGTCATGATCTCATGGTTCATAGGATTGAGCCCCGAGTTGGGCTCTGTGCTGACAGTGCAGAGCCTGTTTGGGATTCAATCTCTCTCTCTCTCTCTCTCTCTCTCTCTCTCTCTCTCTCTCTCTCCCCCTCCCTCCCTCCTTCCCTCTCTCCTTCCCTCCCCACTCTTCTCTCTCTCAAAATAAATAAGGGGCGCCTGGGCGGCTCAGTCAGTGAAGCTGCCTACTTCGGCTCAGGTCATGATCTCACAGTTCGTGGGTTTGAGCCCCGCATCGGGCTCTGCGCTGACAGCTCAGAGCCTGGAGCCTGCTTTGGAATCTGTGTCTCCCTTTCTCTCTGCCTCTCCCCTGCTCATCCTCTGTCTCTCACTCTCAAAAAACAAACAAACAAACAAACAAACAAACAAACGTTCTTTTAAGTACCAGAAGCAGGAAAAGTTAATCCGTAGTGCTCCAAATCAAGAGAGCATTTGGGGAAGTCAGGGCAGGGTAGCGACAAGAAACGAAGCAGGAGAGGGAATCCAGGAGAAGGAGTCTGTTCGCATTCTTTTCCTTGATCATCTCCGGGTTGCATGGACCCGGTACGTTCAGTGTGTGAGAACTCATTGCACATTCATGATCTATGCTCTTTTCTGCATGTAGGTTATTCTTCAATAAAAAATTTTTTTAAAGAAAACCAAAAATGAGTTTGTTCCATATGAAGCGACATGGAACAAAGCAAGTAACAGAACGATTTGGTGGATGAGCCAACAAATATGTATCACAAACAGCTACAAATATGTAAATGGGTGCAAAGATGGGGATTTGGAGAAAAACTGCCCAGTGTGGTGGAGGGGTTATCTCGAAACAAAAGGAATAATTGGGGGAATGAGAGTGTTTCTGTTTCTTTTTGTTTTTTTTTTTGTCATCGTGGTAAGATACACATAACAAAATTTACCATTTTAATGATTTTAAGTGTATAGTTCAATGGCATCAAGTACCTTCACACAACCATCCATCTCCAGAAATTTTTCATCTTGCAAAACTAAAACTCTATCCTCATTAAACATTAATCCACCATCCCCTGGGACCCACCATTCTCCTCTCTCTCTCTCTCTCTCTCTCTCTCTCTCTGTGTGTGTGTGTGTGTGTGTGTGTGTGTGTGTGTGTGTGAATTTGGCTACTCTTGGGACTTCCTATAAACAGAATCATACAGCATTTGTCCTTTTTTGTCTGGTTTCTTTCTCTTAGGATAATGTCCTTGAGTTTCACCTATGTTGTGGCAGGTGTCAGAACGTCTTTCCTTTTTAAGGCGGAGCGATGTTGCATCACATGGATACACCACACTTTGAAAATCCATTCATCCATTTCCGGACATTTGAGTTGTTTCATCTTGTGGCTATTGCAAATAATGTTGCTCTGCCACTGGTACACAAATATTTGTCTGAAGCCCTGCTTTCGGTTATTTTGTGTATATACCCAGTAGTGGAATTGCTGGATCAAATGGTAATTCTGTGCTTACTTTTTTGAGGAACACTCCCTACTGTTTTCCACAGTGGCTGCAGCATTTTATAGGAATGTTCTGGTTTCGCTGAATACATTTCAGTATTGTTTGGATAGTCCACTTCTGGATATAAGCCCAAGAGAAAGAAAACCATACATCCACACAAAGAGTTGTGTACATACTAGGGTTTAGAGCAACATCATTTATAATAGTCAAAAGGTGGAGACAACCCAAATATCCATTATGGATGGATAGATGAACAAAATGAGGTATAGCCATAGAATGGAATACTATTCAGCCATAGAAAGGAGTGCCATGTTCATACATGCTACAACATAGATGAACCTTGAAGACATTATGCTAAGTGAAAGAAGCCAAACACACAAAACCCCACATATTCCATTCATGTGAAATGTCTACAACAAGGAGATCTATAGAGTCAGAAAACAAATTAGTGGTTGCCTAGGGCTGGGAGGTATGAGTAGAGAGAAGACGGCGGGGGTGGGGGTGGGTGCTGGCAATAACTAAAGGGCACAGGGTTCTTTCTGGGGTGATAAAATGTTCTAAAATTGGCTGTGGTGATGGTTGTACAACACTGAATATAATAAAAAACACTGGATTGTATGCTTTCAATCGATGGATTGCTTAGTATGTGAATGACATCTCTAAATCTGCTAGCATAACATAAAATAAAGTGAAGTGAAATGAAGGCAGGAAAAGAATCAAGGAGGGAGGTCATGAGGAAGAGAAGACAGATGCTGAGTCTGTGATGCAGATGGACCAGACCCTCTGGGGCTGGACCCTCCTGGGTTTGAATGCCAACTGAGCCAATTACTGGCTGGGTGACCTGGGGCAGTCATTTCACTTCTGTGAGTCAATTTCTTCACTGGTGAAGTGGGAGCAACATGACTGATCTCTTGGGGCAGTTAACACTTGATGAAATAATAAACAAGTGAAGTTGGTGTTATCTGCCCCGTTGAATATGGAAGGGATGGAAGGGAGTATAATGATGGAAGTGATAGATTGATGGTAGACAGATGAGCTGGACCCCGGGGGTTGCTTTGTGGGTAGGCTGGTGTAAAAGCCCTGGTTGATTTGAATGCACCGCCTCAGCCTCCTTAGCGAGGGGAGTGTTGGTTAAGCTTTGCCGTGACTCATCCCATGGGCGTTAGGCTCCATCACCTCAACAAAGCCATGCCAAGGGTGTGTCCCTCCCATCATGAAGTTTCTTGAGTGACAGGAAACTTGCTTGCAATAAAGGGCCAGATGGCTGTGCTGCCCAATTTATACACAGGCCTCACAGGAGAAACACTGTCAGACCCTTCTCCAAGATCAACACGTGGACCTGACCTCTCCTCGGTACTTAGCCCTATTGGCAGCTAGCAGAGCACCAAGACTTGGCCTGGCTTTAAGGAGCAGCCATTTCTAGAGTCAGTAAGTAATTTAGTAGATACTGGTTCTCTCTCTCCTCTCCTCTTCTCTTCTCTCTTCTCTCTTTCTTTTATTCTCTCCCTTTCCCTGCATGAATGGATGCTCTGGGCAGTTTTGGCAGAACTGAAGAAACTTCTATCCATCCAATCATCCATCCGTCCACTCTTTCATTATTTGTTTATTTGTCTATTATTTGTTTGCTCAACAAATTTCCTCGGACACCACCTCTGTGCCCATGCTGCTGACCCTGATGGAGACAAAGGTAAAGAAATTAGGGTTTCAGTCCTACAAAGTGAGCTGCCTGTTCAGCCACCAGGAGAGGCCTCAAAAGTGCGGCTGTCATGCAAGTATAAACATGCAGTGCTGCGGGAGTCTGGAGAAGGGAGAAGTGGCTTCCACTGGGTTAACAGCGATGGCAAAACCACCCTTGCTGGGCCATTGCTGTAAGGCATCTAGTGCTCTTTCAAGGTCCTTCTCAGATGAGAAAACCTAATCTCAGAGAGGAGAATAAAATGCTCAGGATCACACAGCGGGGAAGGGGCAGGGGTAAGATTGATTCTGGTTTACCTGGCTCCAGAGCCCATGCTGTTTTCACTTTTTCTGTCACAGTATTTGGTTCCTCTTTCCTCACAGCAATGGCTCCAGTGTGTGTGTGTGTGTGTGTGTGTGTGTGTGTGTGTGTGTGTGTGTGTGTGTGTGTTTGTGTGTGTGTGCATGCAGCTGTGTGTAAGAGATATTTTTTAAGACTTTATTTTAAATCATCTCTACACCAAACGTGGGGCTCAAACTCACAACCCCAAGATCAAGAGTTGCAGCCTCCACCAACTAAGCCAGCCAGGAGCCCTGAGAACAAGAGAGATTTAATACTCATTTCTGTAATAGACTAGAGCCACATGAGGGTAGGGACCATGCCCATATTATACACTTTACTCCCGGTGACTGGCATACAACAGGCACCCAGAAAGGATTTGCTGGATAGATAGATATATCAGTGGGTGAGTGGATGGATGGATGGATGGATGGATGGATGGATGGATGGATGGATGGATGGACAGACAGATGAGTGCATGGTTGGGGGAAGTCATAGCAGACATGATGTCATCCAAATTGACAGACAAGGGTCTTGACTAGTAAAGACACATCCCAAGCCAAAGAGGAAGTGTAAGAAAAGACAAGGAGATCGGACAACACCAAGAATATGTCAAGAGTCATTCTCTCCAGCCAGAGAATAAAATAGAACTCAGAGATGAGGGCGAAGAACTCAGACAGATGTTCAGGCTGAAGGCAGAGGGAGGGAGATGGATTGATCTGTTTGGATTAGAGACACATTGGGACAGTTTCAAAGCAGTATTCCCCACTTTGATGACATCATCATTTTAAACCCAATCCCAAAGCATCTCCTTGTTTATGTAACCCCAGCCAATCAGTTCCTGGGCAGCATAGGGGTGTACATGGGGCCACTTTCCCCCTCATGAGTCCAGGGCCTTCAGAGGGAAGTCCAGCCTGTCACAAGCTGGTGAGTGTCCTGAGGGAGGGATAGGGAAAATTCCAGGGGGGTGGTATCTTAGGGTGGGCCTAGCAGGAGTTCTGGGAGCATCCAAAGATGGCAGACACCACTGGAGTGTCACACCAGAGAAGACAAGGCATGCTTCACTGCTGTCATCTCTTGCCCAGGTCGGACCATGAACCGAGTTCACACCACTGGGTTTCTATTCAGTCACAAAACTCCAGATACACTAACTAGTCTGTTCCCTGAGCCCTTCTGCTTTCCCTTGGAGACCTTCAAACTATCTTCTCTTGAATCCCCAGGATCAGCCAAGAGTGCAGAGAACCGGACTCAGAATCAGAGGACACATGAGCAACCCTCAGCCTTTGGAGGAGGTGGGCTGGGTGCAGTTTTGGGGAGAGGGGTGGGAGCATCTGGAGAGAGGGAGAGTGAGTAGCCTAATTCTTCAGAGATCCTGGAGAGGGTGAAAATTCGTGAATGTATTCAGAGCTGGAAGGTGCTTTGTGATCACTCAGATGAAGGGCAAAAAACACAGATGTGGAAACCAACTTGGGGTGGGGGGACCTTGCTATATCTGTCTCAACCATCAGATTCTTATCACTATGGTTTATAGTGAATATAAGAAAAGAATTTTTGGGGCGCCTGGGTGGCTTAGTTGGTTAAGCGTCCGACTTTCGCTTAGGTCATGATCTCGCGGTTCGTGGGTTCGAGCCCTGCATCGGGCTCTGTGCTGACTGCCAGCTCAGAGCCTGGAGCCTATTTCAGAGTCTGTGTCTCCCTCTCTCTCTGACCCTCCCCTGCTCATGCTGTCTCTCTCTCTCTCCCCAATATCCTTCTTCCTCAGACAGGACAAAGTAGGATCTCAGTATTAGCTTCAGAAATTTTGAGACCACTTCAAATGAGAGAGTAGTGTTCATAACACTCTTAGGAAGGATGAAGAGAGAGGAAGGATAGAAAGAGAGACAAAACTACCAATGTGACAGCTGGCAGGGACCTTCACAATCCCCTAGGAGCACATTCATTGTGTTTGGAAACTGAGGCTCAGAAAGGAGCAGTTACTTGACCAAGTTCACAGAGAGTTACAACAGAGTCAGATCCCAGGTTAAGGTGCCAGGCTTGGCAAATAAAAGTAAAGGATGCCCCCCCAAAAAATAAATAAATAAAAATAAAAATAAAATAAATACAGGACACCCACTCAAATTTGAACTTCACTTTGACAACAAATAATCTTATAGTATATAAGTATATCTTATGTAATATTTGGGACCTACTTCTATTTTTTTAAACTTATTTTTTACTGTTTATTTATTTTTGAGAGAGACACAGATCACAAATGGGGAAGGGATAGAGAGGGAGGGAGACACAGAATCTGAAGCAGACTTCAGGTTCTAAGCTATCAGCACAGAGCCCGACATGGGGCTCAAACTCATGCACCATAAGACCATGACCTGAGCCAAAGTTGGATGCTTAACTGACTGAGCCACCCAGGCACCCCACAAACTTATTTTTTTATCTGAAATTTGAGTGTTTCTGGATATTCTGTATTTTACCCAGCAACCCAAACCCCAGGCCTCTCTGGACCACATCTTCTGCTTCTCCTTGACCTCTCTACCCCTTTAATGATCTTTGTCAACTCTCGGCCCAGGAGGCATACGACATGTCAGGAGCCCGCTTAGCCCTGACACTGTGCGTCACCAAAGCCCGGGAAGGTTCCGAGGCAGACCTAGATGCCCTAGAACGCATGTTCCAGCAGTTGGGATTTGAGAGCACCGTGAAGAGAAACCCCACTGCCCAGGTATTGTGCAGCCAGCCCCCGGCCAACGAGTGAGGGGGCTGGACCAGAAGGTAGGCTCTGGGGCCACACCTGAGTTTTGCCATTTCTCTTGCTCCAGCAATTCCAGGAAGAGCTGGAAAATTTTCAGCAGGCCATGGATGCCCGGGATGACTTCATCAGCTGTGCCTTTGTGGTGCTCATGGCACATGGGCTGGAAGGTCGCCTCAAAGGGGAGGATGAAAAGATGGTTGAGCTGGAAAACCTTTTCGAGGTTCTGAACAACAAGAATTGCCGGGCCCTGAGAGCCAAGCCTAAGGTGTACATCGTGCAGGCCTGTCGAGGAGGTGGGGACAAAGCCAAGAACACAGAATCTATGCACCCAATCCAGCCCAGCCCCGGATCCAGAGCCCCAGCTAAGCCTTGGGTTGCCGGTCTGTCTTATGATCTCCTTTCCCCACCTCTGTCTCTGACTTTGACTCTTCCTCTTCTTGGTATTTCAGAACATAGGGACCCCGGTGAAACAGTAAGTGGAGGCGATATGATGATGATCAGCAAGGACAGTCCCCAAACCATCCCAACGTATACGGACACCCTCCACATCTACTCCACCGTGGAGGGTATGAGCCCCCAGTTGGCACAGGGTGGCCTCCTACTGCTCCCCACCCACCACTCCTGAGATGTCCCTCCAGGACCCGCTCTTTCCCAAGGTCTCTTGCACCACACACACACACACCCTCCATCTCCCACCTGACCTCTCCTGAGCCCTCTTCTCTGGAATCCTTAGGATACATCGCATACAGACACGACAAAGAGGGCTCCTGCTTCATCCAGACTCTGGTTGATGTGTTCACAGAGAAGAAGGGACCCATCCTGGAGCTTCTTACAGAGGTGAGTTGGGACAAGGTACCTGGAACCCTCACCCGGCTTGAGCAGGGAGGCTGGTCCTCTTCCAAACCTTACTGCCCTTTCCTCCCCTCCTGCCCCTGGCCCCAAACCCAACCTATGTTCCAGCACAGAAGATAGGATACCAATCTCCTAGCAACAAGTTTCCCTAATGCAGGAAATTCCAAAGCCCGTGTATATGAGATAATTTAGATGAAATACAGATAAATTTCTGTAAACAAAACCAGTAAGTTGAACCATTGGTTGATCAAACTCTTTTTTCTTCTGATGCGTTTTCATAGTGGGTTAGAAGAAAACACAAGAATGTCCAACCAATGAAATAGGATTATGGTACAGGATCAGACAATAAAGGTCTCCTGTTTTAGGACATGGAGACCCAGCTACCTTGTTTGCTAACCTTCTCCTCATAAGCCCACTACATCAACTCCCCCAGAGACCCAGCCCCAAGCTGACCACACCTCTTTCTGCAGGTGACCCGGCGGATGGCAGAAGCAGAGCTGATTCAGGAAGGAAAACCAAGGAAAGTGAACCCCGAAATCCAAAGCACCCTTCGGAAACGGCTCTATCTGCAATAGAAATACAAAGGGCAAGGAAGGGCTGTCTTTTAAGTGCTCTCTCTGCCCCACAAATATTTAGAGGCAGCTCTTACCCCTCCCCTAAAATCCTCTCTCCTCAAGGCCAAGTGGCACCGAGCTCTTTCATCACACCCCTCAAGCAGATCCTCTTTTGATCTGTCCCTGTCCTTCTTAAGGCAAGCCAGCTAAAACATAACACAAGGGCACAGCAATAATATCACCTTCCTGTACCTCTATTAATGCAACCTAAGAGTACATTCACCTACCCTAGTTTATGCTCCTATCTTCAGTTGAAACTCTTTTCTTTCTCCCATTAATTATACCTAGACAAATGTCACTAGATAAGGCTCAAGGTATTCTACTGGTAAACCAATGTCCATTCACCATCTCCCACTCCAATCAAACTTCCACTGTCTCCTGAATCTCACTCGGAGTTACAACCTCCTCTTAAGAACTATATCCATTTCCATCTCCCAGAGATTCCCTCCCTACCCCTGGAAATTCAGTAAGGCAAGAATCATTCTCATTCCAAGGCTCCTCTTCCTTAGCAAGCTGGTGCCTTGAAATGATTCTCCTTTTAGCTTCTGGGCTCTCTCTGACTAATGGAGCTGTTTCGCCTTTTTCTGAGTCTCTCTCTACTAACTAATGTCTCTAAATGCCCTGGACTCAGCTTTCTTTCCAAGAAAATCCATCCATTTATTCATTCTCAGGCTTCAATTTTAACCAGTCTGAATCAGAGCATGTAGGAGCTATATAGGAGCTATATCAAATCCTCTAAAGTCACCCTGTTATTTTTCAGACAGTGATATAGAGACCCAGAGAGAGAGGTTAAAAGACTTGTTGAATGCCACACAGTAAGTCAGGGGGAGAGTTAAGGTCTGGTTTCCAGCCCAGCCCCCGTGCTACTGCCTGCTAAGTCTTGAACCATCAAAACACTTTTCTAATTAGAGGAACTTCCTAAGAAAAGCTCTCTCTGCTTGGAGATAGGAACTCCTTGGAAGACCTACAAGTCCTCAGTACCCAACAATCAAGGCTACCCATATAGAATTCCAGAACTGGGTTGGAATTTGAACCAGATGTCTGCCTACCAAGTCTATGACTCATGTCTCCCCAACTCCAGTCTTGACCTTCCTTACTGAAATAACCTGTGAATATATCTGCCATTATTGAAGATTCATGGCTAGAGATAACCCTTTTTTTTCTACTTCCTCCTCCAAGTGTTCCCTGGCACCCTCATCCTCAGACCCCAGGTTCAGAATTCTGCAGATACCTAACACTCTGCTCTTCTTGCACCCTTCATATGCCACCAGGCATCATGCCCAGCACAGCCTGACTTTGAAACACTTCTCACAGCTGTCTTCTCTTCCCTTACATGTCACTCTTTAGGCTCAAGCCCCATCTTCTGTGTCTACATCTTTTTACCAGCTTCCTTCCTTGACTCTCTGACTGTCCATTTCACCCTATCTCTGCCCTCCATCTACAATTCACCTGCCTAGAATGCTCAAGAACACACAATGGTGCCCCATCCTTTAGATATCAAGGCCAAACTCCACATCCTGATTTTTCACACTCTTACAATTCCCCCTTGTGCCAGCAATCGGTTAAACTCCTCTCTCACCTCCCCTACCATGAAGTCACTCCTCCAACACAAATGTCCTCTTACTCATTCCTGCTTCTGAGGCGTTGCTGCCACCATCTCTCCCTTCACTCCCTTTCCACTACCTCCCACCCGTACGTATTCCAAAGAGCCATTCCCAATATTCTTTCTAGTTGATTCTCTTCTCTCACCCATGATGAGACACTGATGATTAGAGCACTGAGGCAGGAAAAAGTCTTAGACCAAAATAATGGGTGTTCAATAAACAGATGTCAAACTTTAAAAGTATGCCTGGAGTCTTCTCTGTGCTTGAAATGTGAGGCTGATGTGAAAGGTGTTAATGGATCCGGTTTCTTTTTCCCAATGGCCCGGAGCCTCCCAGACATTCTATCATGAGCAGAGAATCAGGAGCTTCATCCCATCTCTTTCATAAAAGCAGATGTGTTGGGAATTTGTAAAGTTAACAGTCACATTTCCACTTCAAGTGGATATATTTTACATTGACTGTCATCATGATATCATTTCCAGAATGTTCCCAAAGAAGTATCCAGACACAGAACTGTAGCTTTTCAGAACTATAGGCAACCTCAGAGATCAGCTAGTTACAGGATCACAAATATTTAGCAAGAGTGTCACCTCTCTCTTACCAAGACCCCACGGCAGACATGACTAATCAACCACACCTTTCCTACTGAACTCAAGTGCAGCTTCAAAGTATTTCTTCTCTTAAAACTCCTGGAAACATAAGCAATTCATTAGTGAGGGACTTATCTAGAATCACCAAGTCCTTTTTTTTTTTTTTTTTTAAGTAAGCTCCACACCCAGCATGGAGCCCAATGCAAGGCATAAACTCATAACCCTGAGCTCAAGACCTAAGCTGAGATCAAGAATATGACACTTAACTGACTCAGCCACTCAGACACCCCTAGAGTCACCAAGTTTTTAAACAGGAAACCCAGGGCCCTTCATTCTATAGTGCAGTAATAGCCATGGCAGCAGTGAGGACTTTGTCATGGGAATGGCAGAGTGAGTGGCTAAGACAGGGTTGAGTACAGAGAGCCAAGTAGATCTGGGATCATGCATTTACTGAGTCCTGTTCATCCATCCATGTGGTCCAAGCACCCAGTGATCCCAGAGTCTCCAAACAAATACATGAGTCAACAAACTAAGCCCCAGTTGCCAAATCCAGTCTGCAATCTGTTTTTTTTTTTTACAAGTTTATTTAATTTTGAAGAAACAGTGTGAGCCAGGAAGGGGCAGAGAGAGAGGGAGACAGAGAATCTGAAATGGGCTCTGCACTGACCGCAGATGCAGGACTTGAACTCACACACCATGAGATCATGACCTGAGCTGAAGTCAGACACTCAACCAACTGAGCCACCCAGTTTTTATAAATAAAGTTTTATTGGCACACAGTCATGCTCATTCATTTACACATTGTCAATGGTTCCTTTTACCCTACAATGGCGGGCTTAAGTAATTATAACACATAACATATGGCCTGAAAAGCTGAAAATATTTACTACCTTGCCCTTTGCAGAAGCGTGCCAACCCCTGCCCAAATGTCTTTTCAACAAATTCTCGTTTTGCTGAAGTCGACCAAAGTTACTCATCACCAAGAACCATACCTGATACAATCGGCAACAGCACTGAAATCAATGGCTTAATTCTTCAAGACCCCTGATTAAGGATGTCCTCCAAGTATTTAGAAAGGATTTGAAAGCACATCCTGGAAGCTTATTACTGAGTATCAAGGGCAGATTCAAGTTTTGCAGGACCTGTATAATTAATGCAGGAGGAGTTTCTCCTTAAGAAAAATACAAAACTACCAACACGGAATTAGTACAGTCATGTGAGTGTATTATCAGGTCTCTCCCAAGGCTCTGCAGGGACCTATGAAAGTGAGGCACCTGCAGCTTATGCTGTGTTAGCTTCACAGAAAACCCACCTCTGTCCACCATCTGTTCTCTAAGCCATTCTCCCAACATCAGCAGGGATGGCCATTTTTTATTTTTATTTTTATTTTTTGTGTTTTTTATTTATTTCTAGGAGAGAGAGAGAGACAGCATGAGCAGGGGAGGGTCAGAGAGAGAGGGAGTCACAGACTGAAACAGGCTCCAGGCTCTGAGCTGGCAGTCAGCACAGAGCCCGACGCTGGGCTCGAACCCACTAACCACGAGATCATGACTTAAGCGAAAGTCGGACGCTTAACCGACTAAGCCACCCAGGCGCCCCTGGATGGCCATTTTTTAAATGAAAATCAGACCTGTCATGCAACTTGTTATATTTTTTATTTAAATTCAAGTTAGTTGACATACAGTGAAGTCTTGGCTTCAGAAATAGAACTTAGCGATTCATCACTTACATATGACATCCAGTGCTCATTCCCCCCAAAAATGGCCTCCTTATTGCCCATCACCCATTTAACCCATTCCTCCCACCCACCTCTCCTCCAGCAACCCTTAGTTTGTTCTCTGTATTTAAGAGTCTCTTATGGTTTGCTTTCCTCTCTGTTTTTCTCTTATTTTTCCTTCCCTTCTCCTATGTTCATCCACTGTGTTTCTCAAATTCCATGTAGGAGTGAAATCATATGGTATTTGTCTTTCTCTGACTGACTGACTTTGCTTAGCATAATACTCTCTACTTCCATCCATGCTGTTGCAAATGGCAAGATTTCATTCCTTTTCATCACCAAGTAGAATCCCATTTTCTGTATATATACATAAACATATACACATCATAGCTTCTTTATCCATTCATCAGTTGATAAACACTTGGGTTCTTTCCATAATTTGGCTATTTTTGATTGCTGCTATAAACATTGGGGTGCATGTTCCCCTTCAAATCAGCATTTTTTTATCCTTTGGATAAACACCTACTAGTGCAATTGATGGGTCATAGGGTAGTTCTATATTTAATCTTTTGAGGAACCTCCATAGTGTTTTCCAGAGTGGCTGCACCAGTTTTCATTCCCACCAACAGTGCAAAAGTGTTCCCTTTTCTCCACATCCTTGCCAACATCTGTTGTTTCCTGAGTTGTTAATGTCAGCCATTCTGACAGGTATGTATCTCATTGTGGTTTTGATTTGTACTTCCCTGATGATGAGTGATGTTGAGCATCTTTTCATGTGATACATATATATATATATATTGGTGATGAGAAAGAATGAAATCTTGCCATGCAACTTTCAGTGGTTTCCCAATGCTAGGTCCCATGTTCTCATCTCCACCCCAGTCACTTTGACCTTCTATTTTTCCCAAAATAGGCTCTTTCCCACCTCAGGTCTCTCTGCCTGGGTCATTCTTCCCAAATACCACTTTATCCTTCATATCATAGCTCAAATATCTATCATTTGTTTTCTTTTTTAAAAATTTTTAAACACTTATTTATTTTTGAGAGACA